TTTGCCTGTTATATATCCTACAAAACTTCCCCATCAGAGGTTTGGGACTGAGAAGACATCAAGAACATTAAACCTGCAGTTCCCCTGAAATGCAGATGAAGTCCTGAATATTCTTAAGTGTTTTGAAATTATCTTATTTATAATTAATGGATATAAGCATTTTGTATTGAAGAATAGGTAATTTTATGAAAGGCATTATAATTTTTCTCTAAGCTTAATCCAGGCTATGTAAAGAGAAGAAGAGATGTAGCACTAAGTGTAAATGTGCGTTTGCCAGGTCGGATTACACTTAGCAAGATCTTACTGATGCATCAGAATATTGACCCTTAAAGACTTTTTTCCATCTGGTTGGGTGAAGGTAGGTGAAAAGGTCAGCGATGAAGTGGTGGGAATACAGAGCAGATTTGGAAGACGAATGATGAGGTAATAAATGTAGATCCGTGCTGGGAAGAATGGCTACAGACAGGGGTACATAGCAAATGAATCTCCAGTGTTCAGTGAAGAACTTAAGAGAAGCACTCAATAAAGTAAATGACCATATCTGTGATGAACTTCTAAGTGTACATGATGTTACAGGATGGAAAATAAAAAGCACACACACTGAAATGTTGAAAAAAGAGATATTAGGCAAAGACCTACAGTTGTGACATTTTATGACATAGTAAAAAGTAGCTTTTTAAAATGTTTTTGGTTTTTGTTTTTTTTTTTTTTTAATAGAAAAAGAGATGTAACAGCAGAGTCATGTCTGCACAGAATTTAATTGCTGAATGGGCATTGTGTTTCTTTTATTCTTTTGGGGGGGGTTATTAGGTGGGGGGTTTTTATATTCTTGCTAGTTTTGCTAACTGTTGAGATAGCATAAACTTCTTTTCAATAAACAGGGGACCGGGCAGGGCTGACCAATATTACTGTAATTAGTTTTAAACTCTCTTTTAAGGATTTCTTCAGGTTGTCAGCCTAAATGAAAAACAGATGGTCCTGAGGCTTTGTTGTTTAGTACCATGACTGATGTTGGTAAAGAACTGGAGATTTTGTGGCCAACTTTCAGGGCCATGTCACCAGCAGTACTGGTTGGGCATAAGGCACTGGTGCTGGGTGACCCACAGCAGCCGTGGGCCTGCGTGCTGCTCTGGGCCAGCTGGCAGAGCCTGCCAGCAGCTGATGTCTGGGGAATGCAGTTTGTCCATTTGCTAGCAGCTCTGCACCAGCGAACACCCAAGTTTGCCGTAACAGAAGATGCTCTGAGCAGGTTGGCTGGCAGCTCTGTGAGATAGCTGCTGCTGATTCCTGCCCAGCCACGTGCATTGTTGTCAGCCAGAGGCTCTTCTTTGTATGGCAAAAACTAATGCCACTTTCTAGTGAAATCACATCAGGTATTTACCAGAATTGTGGAGCTGCAAGGCTGATTCCTTTTCTATTTGTATTTCTGGTGCTTGAGTGTCTTGGTGCAAAGACCTTAAAAGGATAAAGCAATCATAAACTGTGTTTCTGTGTTACTTCCATAGTCAGCCAGATCTGAAACAGGCAGGTACTGTGTGGAGCAGCACTTCAGGCTGAAACAACTGCCAGAATCTTAGGTTAGATCTTTACTCAGTCATGAAACAAATCTTGGTTAAATTAAAAGTGGTTCTTCACACTGTCAGCTTTTAATTTTTGTTACGGAGATAATGTATCTGATGAAGTGCAATGACAATAAAATCTATTTCTCAAAGTTATCTTTTAAAAGAGTTTCTGGCTTTAAACAGGCTCATGACAGAATTTTTCAGTATTCAAAGCATATGTAATATGAAAATAAATTTATTGTTGACAATATTTTACTGTACTATTTCAGGTTTTGAGCATTTACTGTAATAAATTGTACACTGTCTACTTGTAGTATAAATACAACCAATGTGCCAGCTGGACAATTTTGCTGTGACCATCCCTGAGGGGGAATATGTAAGTCTTGGTGATACAGAAGTAATGTGACATGGTTAATTACAGTTTGTATTCTGGTAATACTGTTAGATTGTAACTTGGGGAGGGATTGGGTTTGACTTTTTGTCAACAAATGCTGTTTGGGGGAAGGGAAGGATTTAAATCTCTATTTTAGTTACAGGAAAATGTGGGTGATTGTCCAAATAAAATTGTTTCCTAATACATACATCCATGTACATGCTAGTTCTTTAACTATTTTATTTACTTTTTTCATTTTTATATGACTTGTGTGAGCATTTATTTTTAATTTTTAGTACCTTGCAATACATTGTACTAGAGGCAATCAGATCAAACTGTTGTATCCTGGGTTTGATTCTGTTTTGTTTTTTTCTTTATTTAATTATTTCTTTGATCTTTTACATGAAAAAATACAAATGAACTTAAAAGATTTTGGATGCATATTGGTTATTTAAAATAATTTGTTTAGGGGAGGGGGTGGGTTTGAGGGTTTTAATATGGGCTTCCCAGGGAACAGTAAAACACTGCTTAGAATAACAGTGCAGACATACTATTCTGTGGAAAAGGCATGCATTTTGAATTAGAATATTCAATTTTATATTGTATAGTCAATTATTCATATATGTATATACATATTCAATATGTATATTCAATATACATTTGAATTAAAATATGGGGCCAAAGACCCCACCCATGTCAGGGTAATGGAAGAAGCAGTCCATGAAGAGGGAGCTGAAGTTGGAGACAGGTGATGGACATTCAAGACTGGAATGATGTGAGGAAACATCCTGTGTTCTGGGCTGAGCAAATAATTTTTCAGCATTGTGTATGTTACTTCCCTCCTTTAGAGCTGAACCTTTTGCAGAGTCTCCGGTTAATGCATCATTCCCCAAAGGTGACACTGTCCTGTGGCCAATGTATCATATGTCTGCAGTCTATTTATTGAAGACAACCCGAAAAGAGAGCTAACTGTATGTAGTTCACTTGTGCAGGGGCTTAATCAGTTTTGTCCCACTGAAGTGCATGGGCTCAAAATCACATGCCATGCTCCACATGTTGTAATCTGAGTTGTGAGATAACCAATGTGTATTCTTTGGTGATAGCTCTCAGCTAAAACAGTGCCATGCAGTGTTGAAGTTGCTGTGCTCTCAGCACCCTGCTCACCCAGCAGGCACTTTTAATGGGTGAAAAATGAAGCTTCAGCCAGCATGGGTATTTCTGAGATTTTACAAAGAATGCTAATATTCTTTCTGTAGGCTACTATTTTTACTTCTGTCTTAGTGTATGTTCATATTTCTACACAGTGTAGCACAGTGTGGTCTTTAAGTTGGTCAGGGTTCCTGTGGTCTGTTAACACTTTCAGTTATCTTTGCTTGTGGCTTCTTTCTTACCATCATCTTTCTGTCCCTTCCTAGCACTGCACTCTCTTTATCTGTGCCTTCTTTTCAAGAATTAACACTGGCTTTTTACATCATTCTCTGTTATGAGGTTCTAGGATTAATCCCTCTCCTTCATTTTACTGGATGATCTGCTGAGTAAAAACACAGAACAATCTCCAGTTACTGCAGAATTGACACTACAGATGTGTGATTTGCTTGAATTTAAGTGCTAGCGGAGAGCCTCAGTTGTTAGGTTAACTGAATAGATTTTTGGAACAGCATTGTTGGCACTCCAAAGTGTGAGTTCAGCTGGGCTGCTGGTTGTGGCTCATTTACCCTTTTCAGTACACCTGAAGGCCAAGGTGTGAATGCAGTCTGGATCACAAGATGAAATGTGTGGGCCTTGTGTCAGTATCAGTTATATATTAGCTCCTTTAGAAAACCATCATGTAGCTGGGTGTCTCTTAGAAGCAGTAGCTCATTGATTATGGTTTTAGGTATCATAGCTTGCTGCCTGATATTTCTATCCCATCTCCCACAAAGATTTATGTACTCTGTTTATTGATAAATATATCAAAGCTGTATGCTATGCAGCTACCCATCCCTTTGTTGAATGCTGATGGGAAACATTCCTTGTTCCCAGAGGCCTGATAAAAATCAAACAGGACAAATGTGAGATGAGGTGCAGGACAGCTGTCACCACAGATGAAAGAATAGATGTGAGATGGTTGCACAGTGTGTGTTGAAATAAGGGGTGCTCTCAAGTTTCCTGGGCAGTGCAGTAGAACAGGTGGGACAGACAGCTGTTTCCGAAAATGTTTTTTGTGTAATTTATCATCTTGTACAACATAATTCTCAGTACCTATATCGAACTGTTTAACATTTCTGCATATTGCTCAAGAGCTTCCAGTGCTTTCAAGTACTTCTAGATTCTTCAGATATCTCCTAGTGTAAATACACAATACATGACATGCATTTTCTGAAAGCACAGGCCACAGAATCATTTTTTCAGCAGCAAAATTTTAGGGAATAGATGTGGCCAATATTGAGAAGCGTTGAGACATCCAGCCTGGCAAGCTGGTATGTGAAAATTTGTTTCAGATTTTTTTTAAAGAAGCAAAATAGTTTATTTGAATCCCTCAAATGTCTCCAATCCCTCCTATTTTCTCCTTGATTTCTCTGGGAAGTAGCTTTTTCTTTTAAAGTTTTAAAAGGTCTTTCCAAAAGGTACTTTTGCCTTTGAGCTAGCTCTCTATTGTCTTTCCTCTCTCTTTCATAGTACTGTGCCAAATACAGCTAAATTGAACTTCTACAAAAAGATGAATAAACAGTATTTGTGCTTATGTATAGATTGGAAGCTTTGAGGATTTACAAGCTACTTAACTGACCTGAATAAAAATTGGAACCCAAATTTGTATCTTGCCTGAGAATACCCTCTTTTTAAATGGAAGCTGTTTTACAAAAATAAACATGAATGTGAGAGTTGTGTTTCACTTATTTTATTCCATGATGAGGGATTTCAGGAAGGCTGAAAAAGGAGTCAGGGCTTCATAACACTGGTGGGAGGAGGAGCCCTTCAGTCTCATCTTCTTAGCCAGAGCCAGTGCATCTGAGGGCTGCTTTGTGGAGCAGCTGCAGAAGGGATTCTCCCAGGATGAGGAGCGTTGTCTGCAATATTCCTATTTGTTAGACAGTTCCGTCTCCCTGGAAGAACAAAAACATGGAGGTAATTTCCTGGCTGCTCTTGCTGTGACCTTCAAAGGCTTGTATTATTTCCTAATGGCAACAGTGCGTGGTTTTGGCAGTGTGTTAGAAAACATGACCGTGGAGCTGGGGGAAGGCCAGTTTAGTTTTTCTGATTGTCAGCTAGAGGTTGTATGTAGCCCACCAGTACACAGCATAACAGAGGAGGGGCAGCAGTTGCTCACCCCACAGCATCCGCAGCATTTGCAGTCCCCGCAGATGGTCCCGAAGAGGCCGTTCACCACCTGGATGCCGCACAGCACTGCCTGGATCCCACTCATGACCAGCAGCAAGGAGAAGAGGGTCAGGTGCCAGGGGACAATGTTGTCAGGTGATGTGCAGCGTTCCCACAACGTGTGGTCAGCAAGGTAATCCCTGCACGAGAACACAGCAGTTAGGAAAAGCGTGTTAGCTCACAGAGGAGTCTCGCTGCTCAGAGGTTGTCACTGCTGCCACACGGCCGAGCTCCCGTTCCCTTCGGTGACTTCCGCTGCCACACCAGCGCTGCTTGGCTAGAAATTGACTTCAGCTTCTAGATAAGGTGAAGCAAGTGATTGGGAAAAACAAGACATCAGAACGGAGCAATTGGAGGAGTGTGTGTTTGATACAATTGAACCGTTTTTAGTGTTTTGGGAAGAAAAGATCTTAGCCAAGCAGGTGCCAAATGGGTTTTATCTGTTCCAGTGTTTAGTTAGAGGCATTTTTCCTGCTTTCACTTGATTACACCATTTTTTGTGTGTGGGGGTGGGTGGGGGACTGTGATCAGGGCATGTAATCCAGTATCTCAGAGTACAGTTGAGAACAAGGGAGTACATTGTAATCAAAACAACTGAATTATCAAAACAAATAATGAAATTATGCATGTCACCTCTTGCCCACTAAGCTGAAAATAACACCTTTTGCTGTTCTAGATGCCTCATCTAAACTAAAGGTAATAACCTCCATAATTTTTACCTTTACATTTTGATTTAATTGTAAACTGCTTAACCACTGGCTATATTTCATCTGCATATTCTTAGTGCTGACTTGTTTGTGTTCTTGTCAAGTGATTTCTGGACTGCAATCAAAACTATGTTTGAAACAGCATATTTCCAAAGACTCAGAATGAGACTAAGGGAATTTCTGGCCCTCACTGGCCCATGAGCAAATAATCCTCTACCTGTACACTTCTTGTTTTCTTTCTCTTTTTTTTTTTTTTTTTTTTTTTCTTTTCAACCTGAAGTAAAATATTTTTGTATATTATGTAAGAAATGCTGCCAGGTAACTCTTGACTGAGTCAGACTGCATTAAAGGTTCTGAGGTAATGAAGAGTTTACTGCAGCCCTTGCCATTCTGTTCTGATCACATCTGCTCTCCTCAGTAGCACGTTGTGCCCTGTTGTTTGTTGAAATTGACTTTAGTCTGAGCAGTGGGATAGGTGGGGTTAAGTGATAAATATACATGACAGTGAACATGTTTGAGTTGCAGAGCATGAGGAAAAAGCAGCTTGCAAATGCCATAGCCAAAATAAAATTATACATAGATTATATTTATTAATATTATATATATTATATTATTGGTAGTAATTCTTTGAATACCATTAAATTTCAATATAATCATAGAATCACAGAATGGTTTGGGTTGGAAGGGGCCTGAAAGATCATCTCATTCCAATCCCCCTGCCATGGTCAGGGACCCATTCCTCTGTCCTAGGTTGTTCCACACCCTGTCTGACCTGGCCTTGAACACTTCCAGGGATGGGCCATTCACAACTTCTCTGGGCAGCCTGTGCCAGTGCCTCACCATTCCCACATGGAAGACTTTTTTTCCTAACAATTGATCTAAACCTACTCTTAGTTTAAAGCCATTATCTTGTCCTGTCATTACATGCTCTTATAAAAAGTCCCTCTCCTTCTTTCTTGTAGGCTTTCATCAGGTACTGGAAAGCCACAGTCAGGTCACCCTGAAGCTTCTCTTCCCCAGGATGAAAAATCCCAATTCTCACAGCCTTTCTTCGTAGATGAGGTGTTCCATCCCTCTGATCATCTTGGTAGCCTCCTCCATCTGAGTCATTAATGAAAATATGAAATAACACCAGTCCCAGCAGGGATCCCTTAGGAACACCTCTTGTCACTGATGTTCAAGGATCTTGAGCCAGTGACCACCACCCTCTGGATGCAACCATCCAAACACTTTCTTCTCCATTTAACAGTTCACCCATCAAATCCATCTCTCTCTAATTTAGATAGCAGGATATTGTGGGGGATTGTGTCCAGATAAATGACTTCTGTAGTCCTTCCATTGTCCACTGATGGAGTCACCCCATCACAGAAGGCCCCTGGGTTGATCAGGCAGGGCTTTCCCTTGGTGAACACATTCTGGTTGGCACAAATCACTTCCCTGTCCTCCATGTGCATCATCAGACCTTCTAGGAGGAATGCTCCATGATCTTCCCAGGCACAGAGGTGAGACTGACAGGTTGATAGCTCCCAGGGTCCTCCTTTCAACCCTTTTTAAGGATGGGTGTATTGTTTCCTCTTTTCCAGACACCTGGGACTCCACCTGACTGCCAGGACTTTTCAGATATGGAGAGTGGCTTAGCAATTACATCAGCCAATTCCTTCAAGACTCTGAGAGGTGTCTCAATGTGTCATTTCTATTCATTGAAGTGGAATTTATGCCTGTATGTTGCTTATCATCCCAAGAATAACCTAGGAAGATGCTGTGCATTTCTCTTTATTGGCCCCTTTGAAACTCAGTAGTTTTTACTTGCTATTTGTTATATCCATGCTCTTGAACCTTATGAAGTCTTGCTGTGTGCTGCAAGCACTTCTAAGAGCTTGTCTAATTTAGACAAGCAGTATCATTCCCATTTTTATACAATGGATTTGGAATTTGAATCATCTCACAAACTTAAAACATGTTTTGTTATTTTTTCTGATTGCCTTGTCTTACCCAGCCTGGAAAGGGTAGGTCCAGTCTCCTCCACTTTGACATTTAGGGCCCTTGTTTAGGGCTACTGCTGACAAAATAAAGCAGTATCCAGCTCCCAGGACTCCAATGGCAGCAAATATTATAGAAGAAAACATCTGATGAAGAAAAAAATAATGTTATTTGTGTTCCCTGAATTCAGCTGTTCCCTGAAATGGTCCCTAAATTCAGCTGTTGGTAGTCAAATAATCAACACCTGAACAGCTGAAGTCTATTAGTTTTCATTGCATAGTAAATGTGTAATGCATACTTGTATTGGTATTTTAAAGCTGTGGCTGCACTGACCCTGTGTTCCTGAGGAGGAGAAGGCAGGGGCTGGCAGCAGATGGCACTGCTCTCCTCTGGGGCCTCCTGCTCCCCTGTGGCCAGACGTTCTTCTCAGGAGACTGCAAGGAAGACTGAAGTCTTGGACCACTTAAGGCATTAAAAAAAAATCTACAGTATCCTTTACAAGTTAGCTTTGGTATCTTGGTTATATTTGGACTAAATAATTATATTTTTCCTTCCCAAGTCTCCCTTTAGGTTTCATATTAGTATACTTTATCTGTTCACAAGTAGTTGTCAGTGTGAGCTCTAGTAGTACAATTGGAATGGATGGGAAATTATGTCTTTATTTTTCTGGTTTTCTGTTACAGAATTTTCCATATATACTAATACGTAAGTAAATAATGCAAGAACTAATGCTCTGCTTGAATTCTGAAATATTTGTAGCCATAACAGTTTGTAGGTTAAGGTTATGTCCTTTATTGGAATAAAGTGATACAGGTGAAGAAAAAAACCCAATACTTTCATGTCATATAATTATTTGGGTTGGAAATGACCTCTAATATTATCAAGTCCGATGTGATTTTTTTTTTTTTGTTCAGACCTCATTACAAGACTCTTGTCTTGAGTCCTGGCATGCATTTTTATGTTAATATATCTATCAGAGCTAAATTAAAAACTATGCTTTTGTAGTAGACACCCTAACAATGGATTTCAGCTAAAATACCAAATTTGTTCCTCAGACATGCTGGTGGTGATAAGGCCCATAGGACCCTTGTAGTACAGTGTACTTGGTACTCTTGAGTGTACTGACACTCCCAGCCAGCTGCACTCCAACACGCTGCAGCAGAGAAGGCAGGCTGGTCTGCTTTAAAGTAGGAGGCTGGATTAGGTGATCTCTCAAGGTCTATACCTTCCTGAAAATCTTCCTGTGAATCTAATGAGCTACAGCTCATTTTGTGGGCCTGCAGTGGGTTGGGAATGTAGTGTCTAAAAAACTGCCAACAAAAAATGGCTAAGGAGAGGACTGTTGTACTCTGCAAAACAAAATGTAGATCTTTCAGCAATAGATTTTAATTGTGATAGTAGCTATAAGTATCTTGATATCCTTCTGCTATCCTGATAGCAAAAACCAGTGAGGCTATACTGCTGTGGTACCTGTGGTAAAACATCAGAGGCATAATACACTTTTTACAGCCTGCTGTTTCTACTTCCCAGCACTCAAACAAATGGCAGGGCTCTTTGTCCCACACTCAAGACAGCCTCTGTCTAGACTCACAATGACTGTGAGAGGAAAATACATATATCAGTAACAATTTAGCTTTTACTTTTTTTGCCATGTTTCCTTTCACTTACCGCAAACCTCTTTCCACAGCTCCGATTCCCACAGCATCCACAGCAATCATTATTCTGAAGGCCCAAGAATACCAAGGCAGGGAAGATCATCTACAAATAATAGAAATATAGTTTGAATTGGGATGAATTCAAATTACATCTTCTTTTAAATATAATAATTCTGTGGGGGGTTCTATTCTTATCATTAGTTTAAGTTACTTATTGCCAAACCTTTGGATGGTTTATAACTTATTTGTTTATCAAAGAGGAATTTGCAGTCCTGAGAAAATTCAACAATGCAAATCATGGCTGCGGGTGGGGGGAAGGTAGAAATGTCTGAATTTAGACACTTACCAATACACCCGATCCCAAGATCCCTCCAAAGTACCAGACTTCATCTGTAATGTGTGTACTGTACTCAGCCACTTTTCCTCCAGGGAAAAACAACAAAATGTTAGCAAGGGTGCAGAGCACAGCCAGGGGGATGAGAGTACCTCCCAGGCACTTGGCACAGCCTCCCGTGCACATGCTTCTTTAAAGGAATTGCAAACACAATTGAAGATAAAATAAAATCTTTCAGATGTTCTCAGAACTGATTCATAAAAAGAAGCTTCTCAGTGTGCTTTGCAAAATCCAGTTTCTGTTGTGCTGTTAGAGGAGTTGAGCCTGTGGAATGCTCCTGTCAGTGTTCCTGCAGTCAATCGAAAATGCACTGTGCTGTTTTTTTTATATGTCCTTGAAACCGTGATGTCAATTTTCTGAACGTCCGTAAATGAAGTTACGTTCAGGGCAGCCTCTCATTTTACTATGACAACCCACAAAATCTGTTAATATTTTACTAAGGTGGCGGACACACTTCATAATCTGGGCTCAGGTCATGGGTTGATACCTGTCTCAGCTCTGGATCATCAGTTTTACAACACATGATCTTTCTTCATACTAGAAAACCCTTCTTTTGTAAGGACTGACATAAAAATGCATAAAAATCAGCTGATATGAATAACATATTAATAGTCCAAGTTTTTACATGTCGTGAGACAGTTCTGTAACTGAAATAGTTGAGAAACTAGCTGATACAAAGATGACCCATTTTAGACCAAGAAAGATACACATCCACAAACCCGAGAAAGTTCTTGGCTTGTAGCAAGATGAGAAACATTTATTAGTGTTAGGTAGTTGGACTGTGCCTCAGGCCATGTGTTTCTTCTCTTTCTTTGGGATTAAAAGGTTGATTTTATATTTATTTTGTAATTTCTTGCTCTACATGATGGAAGACTGCAAGAAAGACTAAATTAGAAATACTCTAATATTTAATAGCCCTCTTCACCAAATATTAAGTTATATGATTAAGATGAATCAAAACCTGACAGTATTTTCCATAGATTATATTTTGAAATTATGGCATATGCCATGTTTTACGATAACTCACACATTTTTTTTACTTTCATAGGAGAATATTTCATATCGCATAAATTTAAGCTTATTCAGGATGGCAAAAAGTTATTGTCTCTCCTGCCAATCATATGCATTTGTTATTATATTAGGAAGACCAGAGGATGATTTTTTTGTGAAGACCAGTCCTAGGAATTGAAGTGACTGTAGTGCTGCGCAGACTCATGATTTCTGAGGAAATGACACTAGTTTGCTTTGTAAAAGGTTTTATTCAGATATTTATTAAGACAAATTTTTGAGTGGCTTCTCAAGCTGGCACGTAATGCAACACGGATTAAGTAACAGGTCCTTGGTATGAAGCGCAGACCTAGCAGGACAGCCTGGGCAGTGACAGTGGTTGTTCCTGGTGGACTGGAAGATCCCCATGAATCACAGCGCATTCCATGCTGTTGGCACAGGAGCCTGCAGCTGATGATTTACCAAACAGTTTCTGGAGGTTGTGCTATTTTCATTTTTCATGTGTCATCGTGATTCCCCTTAAAGTTTTTGCTAGAAGGGTGTTTTTGCTAGAGCAACAGATGCCGCTTGGTACGGTTTGGAGAGCACGGCCCTTTGCAGCCACGCTGCTCAGCCAGAGCAGCGGTCTCTGCCAGGCCCTGGCAGCTGCCAGTGTTGCCAGCCGTGTCGGGGTGTTGGCGCGTCTGACCCTGCTGTTCCTCTGCACAGAGCAGACAGTGCCCAAAGTGTTGCCACTGTTGTTGGTTGCTCCCTGAAGGAGAGAGGAGCCTCTGGTCCTGTCTGTGTAACAGCAGCATACACATGGCCCCTGAGGATAGCATTTTGAAAGGCACATGCTCATAAATTCAACTTTTCATCTCAAGAAGTAAGCTATTATGCAATCAAAGAGTAAGCCAAGAAAAAAAGTCCTGAGAGCACAGCCTACGTGTGGTATTGAATAGGATTGGGCCAGTGTGAGCAGTTTTCGTGGCTTTCAACAGCCATTTATTGATTCTGTGTAAGAGATTCAGAACCTGAAAACTCTCCATATGTCACCTGATAAATTAAATAGGTTTTCGTGACATTCCCATTTGGTAGAGAACATCTGTAATTAGGTTCCTCCTTACAGTGGCTTGGTAACAGGCACAGGGAAAATGCTTGCTGTAGCTGGAATATAAGTCTTAGTTGGCTTTCTTCATCTTCTCTGACTACAATGTGGCTTTTTTTTTTTTTTTTTTTGCAGTTGTGAATTGCGGCTTGCAGTAAAGAGGAAAAGTTTTAAGTTACTTTGCATCCAGCACCCTGCCATCCTGATTCACAGCAAGTGGTTCAAAGACAGATGCTTCCATCAGGTTGTTGCCAGGTGTTCACAGCACTCCTGCACTTTCCCTTCCTCCACTCACTAAAATTGCCAGTGCCATTGAAGTCTAGCCAGACCCCTCTGTTCAACTATACTCGTTTATGCATGGAGCTTTTAAACTATTGCCAGCTTTTATGTGAGGGGTTAAGCTACAGGTCATTTTCAGCAGGGAAGTGGCATCCAACCTGAGCTGGAAAGCAGCATTCAGACTGAGTCAAGTATTTTCCCCAGGGAAAAATGGAGTGGCTTGCACACTCAGCTGCTCTGAAAGAGGTTCTTCCCTTCCATTCCTACCCATGTTTTCCAGCTCTCGCCATCTATTTGGGAGGGTCTCTCCCAAATAGATGGCCAGACCCATTGTCAGACATTAGCTACAATTCTAGTCCTGAAATAAGTGCTTCATCTTGAAGACTCTGGTAACTGGGGTGGAACCAGTCTTTGAATGTTGTGTCATCCTGTACTCTTGAGCAGCATGTTTCTAGAAACTGTAGTATCATAATGGAAGGCACTCCTTTTGGCGTACTTTGGGAAGGTGTTTCCTTCACTCCTCATCTCCTGAGTCATACAAAGTCCATGCTGTGCAGAAAGGTGAAATGACGTATTCTCCTGTGGAAAATTACAGGAATATCAGGCCACTCAGTTTTAGTAGTTTCAGGAGGATGTAAGCAGTGCTGATACCTTTCAAATGTTGTATTTTGATGTATCTAGTAATTTGGAATTGTAGATAGGTTTGTCTTGATCCGTTTTTTTGTGTCAATTACTGAACTCATTAGACAGTTATGACCTGAGGTCATGAGTCCTTGCTCTTGTGATTTGTGTGGCTGCTTCCATAGTCTAAATGTAGTTTGGATGCCTGGAGCTTGATAAGCTTGTGACAAGTACTGACCCTCCCTCAAATTGAGCCAGGAAGGAGTGGGATGTACAAATTTATAGGTAGGATGTGAATTACACTAGCCTAGTAGAAAACAGGTCTGCTCAAGCCTCTGCTGTTTATAGTAAACTTGTGTGTATGCATTTACATATATGCCTATATAATAATTTATAAAATGTATACGATAACACATTGATGTCAAGCAAGAAATACTGAAGGATATTCCTGCATCAAATTGCTCTTAACACAAATTGCCCTCAGCATCTAACACAATGCACGCTTGGTGTTGTGCAGTTCCATTCAGGGCTGGAGAGAGGCTGGTAAACTGTGCACCAAGTTTCTTTCAAGAGAGTGCAAAGGAGAATGAGCTGAAAAATGTGTCCCTTCATGTGACCCAAATCTTCATTGCAGTGAAGGATCACATTAGCACAAGCTCTTCTTTGGAGGGCTCCAAAAAGCCCTCCAGCTCTGACAGCTGTGTAGTAAAGGGGTACCTCCAGTGGGGTGTACTGCGGGGGCAGACCCTGCTCCTCTTGCTGGAAAGTCAGCCACTTCTTCCCCGTGAAATGCATGGATGTGAATGCATGTCAGTGAGAAACTGAGACTGGGGCTGTGTATGTACAAGAGTAAAAGCCGTCATTGCGTCCATACCCACAGCTTTGGCATGAGAGAAATCCATTCCCTTTCCTGTTCCCAGGCTCCTCTGTCAGACGTGGGGGCTGGCTGCATGTGAGACACCTGAGAGCAGAGGGGAAGGCGCCTGAGGAAAAGCTAGGTCTCATGGGTTTCCTCACGACAGGTTTTCCTGTCCCAGCCCCAGCTGCTGGACTCTCCCAAGCTCTGAGGACAGACTGTTGATGTACACAGTATTTCCCTCATATCTTTTTGACCTTTGTCAAAGCTCAGATAAGAGCCTATGCCAAATGTAGCTTGGACTGGGTGGTGTCCTCAGTGACACATGGGCATCACATCACCATGAATACAGAAAAGCCAAGTATCCTGATGGTGAGTGACTAGGAGAAGTGGGCTGGAAGGCACATTACAACTACTGTATTCAGCTGTACTGTAACTCAGCTTTATATTTTGCTGTTCTGCAGCCATGTTCTGTTTTACATGTCTCTGTTTTACATGTCCCCGCTGCCCATTTGCCAATTTTCCCACAAATGCCCTTTTCAACACAGAGTGTGGTTTGTAAGGGTTTTAATAAAATTCCATTCCTTCATTCTCCTGAAGGCGTACTCTGAACAGTCCAGAAGTAACTGTCAACCAGTAGCAAATGGGCATGAGGGCTCTAAGAAATCTCTGATGCTTCTCTAATTTATATTACTTTAAAGTAAGCAAAAATTACATACCTATAAGTACGTAATATCTCTCTTTTTCTGCTGTTATATTTCTTGAATCTTGTGATATTTATTTTTGTTCATTTGTATGAAAAGTGTGTTGTTATGTATTAATGAAATTGCCTTTTTTGTAATCCACAATGTCTGTAAGAGAAAACAAAGAACTTCAGGATTGCAGTGGACCATCTAAGCACCACTGAAGTACTTTTAATAATGAGGACAAAAATTGCACCTAAGGTATTTTCAAAAATGAGAGAACAAAGGAATTGTTTCCTTTAGGGTTACGTGTTATTTATTTCTCTGTGGGGCTGTGTGCTCTTTATTGTCTTGTTACAAGTTTTTGCCAAGTCACACAAATTATTATTTACAGTGGTTATACAGCATTTGCAATTCTATATTCTTCTTGTCACTATGCATGCTGAAGTGCACAACTGTCCATTGGGTACCATATCCTCTTGCTGTAATTTAGTTTTTCTTCTTCCTCTTGACTTTACAAAAGCAAGCAAACAAGCAGGAGATACCTGGGAAACTAGACCAGTTGCTTCAGATTTTAGAAACAGATGAATCT